GGTTTTGCTTGAATCAGATAAAAAGTCAGCAAGAAGCTTGCTTAGCTTTGTTTTTGTTTTGTTTTGTGCTTCTTTTTTTTTTTAAAGGAGGCACAGAGAGAAAAAAAAAATCCTCATTTGTTTTCTAGCTTAGAAGTCCTAGGAATGTGAAGTCCCTGGTTTTGCTAGTAGGCTGCTGGAGATATGAATTTGCAGCTTTTTCAGTCCTTACTTGGAGAAGCAGGAACACTGAATCACATATGAGACACCCACCGTCCTAACTGTTGGGCAAGTCTTTTGAACACATGCAATCAACAACGAGTGCAGATAGTCTTGAAAATGTGGTGAAGTCACTTTGTCTATGCTTTGCTTGGTTTTTTGTTTCCTCAGCAGAAGGCTATCGATTCTCAGTCATTGGCAGAATTCCTGTAGTTGATCAAACTCAATAGAATTAGGATTTCAAATACAACTTAAAAAGGAAGGATGCAAGGAATGCCATAGCTTTTTGTAACTGTGCCCATCCATTTCTGGTAATGAGTCAATACTGTGAATATACACACCAGAGGTGCATGTATGTGTGTGTATACTGGGGAAAGCTTGTGCCACACAGCAGAAAACTATCCTTTCTTTCACATAACATGTTGGAAGCTGGAAGCTTTTGACTTTCTAGATCTTGTGAATGAGACTGTGTCAAGGTGTGCTGATACTTGCAGTAGAGACCTGCGATAAAGGTCCAAATGTTTCACAGGCTGGTATTTGGGGTGCTAGAAGAGGATGAGCTTCTTTGTCTGTCAGTGTGGAGGCAATAGCCAGTGTGGTACTTGAATTATCAAGGTAATTAGACAAAGAAACACAAACTCTTAGTATGTTCATGACAGTGGTACAAGTACTTTCTTGTTACTCTGCTCACCACCTGGAGATCCTAATCACATCACATCCCAGTATCACAGCAGCAATTGTCACATCTAGGCAGTATTCCACAGTGACTTGCATGCCTAAGAACAAAAATGAGTGATGCAGAAAGAATGCAGATTTCCCTTCTGGCCAGGTGCTCATCACAGCTCAGTGGATAACCTGAGTATGTCTGCCATAGTCCAGGGAAAGCACATTCATAACTTTTCCCTTGGAAGCAGTGAAAACATTGATAACAAATATTCCTTTTCATTTTCTGTCAGTACAACGGCCACCTTGCAATACTACAGTGCAGGAGGCCAACTCTTGAATACTCAAAGTACTGCAAAGATCATGCAGAAGAAAATATTCCTGGCAGATATATTATACTATTATATATGTATACTATTATTATCATCTAGTTCTGTGAAAGTGTTTCTGGTCTGCTAACAAGCAAGACAGACTGTGATATCCCACTGATGAGCATATTCTTCCTCTGAGCAGGAGAGGTATTTCAACAACTTACAGGCTGCCTGTTTCAAAGCAGCAGGTTCAAAGGTTCTGCTCAAACCTTGCTTTAACAGTGCAAGCTGTAAGCGCAATGTTCCATAGCAAACTAAGCTTTATTCCTTGCATGAAAATTCAAACATCCAAAAGCTACTTGCTTTTTCTCCTTTTTCATTTTGGTCTAGTTTGTTGCTATCGAGTGCTTGCAAGATGTAGAGCTCTTGCTGCCGTTTTGTACAGTTACGTCTTGGATCTGGCTTTCTGTTTGGTGGGCGAGTGGATGGATGGATGGATAGATGGATGGACGGATGGATGGATATTTGATGGCCTGTAGCTTGGCATCTACATTAGTAGGAATCATTTTACACCTGTTTGGAGGGTAAAATCAAAGTAGCTGTGGGCTTTGTTTCACCAGTGTCACAGAAGGTGCTTTGGAGGGGGTTGTTTTTGCTGTCTCAGGCTGCTTGCTTAACGCAGTTTCCTGGTTTATCATATGTTGAAGAATTACATAGCTTTGCATGCTAATTTAGGAGAGGAGAAGGACAGGTAATGGTGGGCTCCGTGAGATTTATGTCTTTGAAAATTTTGGAAGTAAGATTTATTCCTATGATAATAATGGTGCTCTTTTTCTTTGTCTCTCTCTCCCTCTGCCCCACTTCCCCTTCCCCCCATTTTCCTACTTCCTCCACTGCTTTCCTTCTGCAGCATCTGGAAACCTTCTCCGGAGTTCTCCCCACCCTCTCTGCAAAGGACGAGCCCCTCTGGCTCCCACTCAGACCCCTGAACTCTAGGGAACAACAGGCTGTTTTGATCCCGAAGCCCTCTCCGAGGGAGTGTATAGCTCACACAGGTTTCTGACCAGAAAGACACTCTTTAGCACGCACTAAAACGTCTGCCTACAGACATGTACACTCAGGAGCACGTGAAGCACACGCATGAGACTGTGATGTGACACTCCAGCACCTCCCACCCCATGGTTGTTCACCAGAGCTGCCTGCCCCAGTGAGCCTCCATGGTTTATTTTATAGTTCTGCCTCTCTGAGGTATGTTGGCAGCTCTAATACCAAGGTTCTCTGATATCGCTGCAAGCGATACCAGCCTGCTCACAGAATCTGTGTTCCCTTTGATTTAAAGATTCTCATTAAAGTCGGAGATGAAACTACTGATGTTTGAGGATTTGGAGAGGGAGTTAACACTGTCTGAAAGGCTTGAGGTGATATCACGGTACAGAGGGGAAAAGGCAGGGGGAAGATGGGCTGCCTGATGACTTTGGTAATGGGCTTGCAATGGAGAGGACGATATGGAGATTTCATGTCATGCATTTCACTGGGCTCTAGTAAGACCATAAATCACTTTTCCAGGGGTTAGGATTTCTCATTTATGACTGGCATCACTTCTCAAAGAAGTTACCAGCTTCTGGTGAAAAGTTATTTGTTTGAGTTGATTCTTTTGGAATAAGAAGGGGGAGGGATTTGGACTGGGGGCAGGTGAATGCAGGAGAGCCTGACCGTTTTTTGGCGCTTTTTTTTGTGCTCAGTGGGAGATGACCTCAGAGTGCACACACTGAGTGAAGAAATGAGGGAATACAAAACATCTTTGGAGAGAGCAGCCACTGCTAGGAAGGAGAGCAATATCTTAGATGAAAATTGTGTGGAGATGGAAGGCGTCTTCCAAGATCAGCCACAGCAGGTTTTGGCTGACAAGCTTCCACAACAATTTCCGCTGTCAGGGAATTGGAGATGGCAGTACTGGTGGAGGAATCCTCTGTCCCACAGAGCCTGGTGCAACCAAGCTGGGTGGGGTGGACAGGAGGCTCTCCAGGGTAGATATCCAGGGATACCAGCCCTGGGCTGGTGGCAGCAGTCCTACCTGCCTCACATTGGTCACACAGTGGCTGTGGCCCAGAGACTGGTTTGGTGTGTCTTGCAGGTCTCAGCTGGGCGAGATCTGCACCATTGGGATCTGGCACTCTTGCTGAGGTCTGGAGAGGCCTCTGAAGTGGGGGGGTGTGTGAGATCCACGGCGTACACAGCTCTTTGCACTACTTGCCTTTGCTGTCACCCCAGGGCAGAAGAATGGGGCTCCCCGGGGCTCATGGTAATGAGGATCATCGTGGTAGTGTTTGTCACCATGTTTTGTTGCCGCATTTTTGCTTCAGCCTGATCCCATTGCCCTTCACAGCTAGGAAATGTCTCCGGCGAATTAACATGAGAACTGCTGCAAAAGACCCAAAATGCACAATGAAATTGTGTCCATCTGTCATGGTGCTTTACACACTGGAATGAAGCGGTGGACCAGGCTGGGCTGAATTACACACTGCCCTTCACAGGTATTTGCTGAGGTTATATGCCAGTCTTCAAGATGAAACTCCATGGAAACTCTTCAGTCACAGCACACTGCATCTTTGTCAGGTTGTCAGAGCACAGCTCTGACTCCATCCTGAGTGTGTGCTGGAGATGGTGATTGTTAGCTCACTTTCCAAAGAGCCCAAAAGCTTGGTTGTGAGCTGAAGGCAGGAGCTAATTCTGCACTGACACTGTCTATTGAAGCAGTAGTGACAGCTCATACCAAATGACTGAGGCTTCTTCATTGCAGAAATACCTTTAGCTTGTGTCTCTCTCCTGACCATGGTGTTCCAGTGAAGGCAGTCCAGGGAACTAGGGAAAATGGTCTAAAGAATATGTCATTTGTGAGCAGAATTGATGAGAGACTCATCTCTTTAATTTGCATGTGCATCAAGGTAGTGGAAAAGGTGTGGATGGGTGAGGGCTGTTTCTGTGTACGTGTATCTCATGTTGTAATCTTCAACCAGTTCTTTCCAGACATCAGCTACTTTTCTAGGCCTGAAAGGCCATGCTGAATTCCTGGGACTGAGCTGTGTTAGGTCGCCCTGTAGCTACAATGCTCCATCCTCCTCCTATTACCTTCTATCCTGGGCAGTTGGTCAAAGCAGTGCAAAACAGTACCGTGTTCCTGGTGTCTGTTTCACTGTATGTAAGCTTCAAAGAGAACAAGGCAACAGCCAGAAGAGCTGCTCCAGGCCTGTCAGGGAAGGAGATCCATTCTGATTATTTAGCAGGAGAGATAACATGAAATCCATAGGTTTTCTTTCTGAAAGTGTCTTGTAGATGGGACTAGTGAGTTTCTCATTGAAGCATTGGCTAAGAAAGACTCCTTCCTGTGCCAGACCTGAACCACGCCATTTCCCCTTGCTGAGGAAAAAAAATTAGCTCTCACCTTTAGTGTGAAGTATCTCAGGATACTTTAATATGAAACACAAATGAATCAGCCTAATGGTCCTGTTGTAAGAAGAGTGATATTCTCGCCTTTCGCACCGATCCAAACTTTGAGATTACATGACTTGCCTGTCTCAATTTCTGGTACAGAACCTATGAGATAAATGTCCCAATCCAGTCTTTTAACTGAGAAGTCTTGATGTAACCAGTCAACGTTGTACTCACCGATCTGCCACATGCTTATTTTTCTTGACTTTCTGTCTCTAATGCAGGAAGTAAATAACCCATTCAGTTTTATGGTGAAAGTATCACCTGTGAGCAGAGAGCAGCAATAGGTTTTGGGCTCCTTTCTGATTCTGGGAATGCCTGCATGGTCTGAAAGCATTGCTAGGTACAAGTAGTGGGAAGGTCATGGGAGATGTCTGTGTTGCCAGGGAGGGTGAGGTTCCAGGGCAGGCATGACATTGTCCGGCTGTGGGAAGAGTACAGAGAAGTCAGGCTTGGCATCAGAAGGTGGAGGTTGCTATCTTAACACAGAGGCCAGCAAGCTGCTGATGGACCTTGTGCTGCTTGCAAAGGTCTGATGAACAGGGTGCTGTACCCTAGGGGTGCATATGGGGTTGTGTATTTCACCTTTCCATTGCCCTCTTCTAGCAGTGCCATTGTTGCTCTGAGTGTTCCCAGTTTAGGTATAAGAGCACATTTGTGAACCTGCGCCACTCTCTAGCGTTCTACCTCCATCACAGCCCAGTGCTTCCAGGGGTGCAGGTTAGCACACCTTTAAGGCAATGTGCTGTGCTGTCCCATTTGTAAGTGATAAAAAGCCACATATCTGCACATCCATCCTGATTTTGGAGTGCTTTGCTCTGCAAAACATGCTAGTAAGGAATAGTCCTTATGCTCAAGGAAGTGCCCAGTATTTATATAGGAATACCTCTTTTTTTTCCCTATCTGGGCCTACTGGATATATTTTTACTGCCTTGTGCTTAGTCTCCTTACTGCCCATCTGAATGGAATTTGAATGTGTGCCCTTCTGGTATTCCCTGCCTTGGAGTACCCACTAGCTTACTTCAGTCTGGAGCCAACGCAAGAGTCAGCTCAGAAGCAACATAAACAGTTTAATGTGTCAGTATAGGCACAGCTATTTTGCCATGCCTGCAAGAACTTTGGATCTGCAAAATTCCTGACAGGAATATTGAATTATGGAGAAGACCATTATCTCTTTCAGGATGAGGAGCTGGCTAGTTCTACTCTGGGTAAGGTAATTATGGCTGAAGGCATATACTTTACAATGCCTGGCCTAGAAAATGCCAAAATGGTTGTCTTTAGCCTTAGTGCTTTATAAACCTGTGCAGTATAAGAAGCAGAAACGTATTACTGGTGTTCTATTGTCTCATCCTGAAAAATGTTTGACTTGTTTCAGATGGGAGCCCATTGTAAACAGTGGAAGATGGAGAGACCAAGCAAGGACAAAAGGAATAAATTCTAGTTAATACAAACTTTTGCCATGACTTGTGACCTAAACATCTTCAAGGTGATGTGAGTCACAGCCATTTTCCTTCCATGGCACAACACTTTTATCTGGAGGAAGAACTGTAGAAAACTCCTGGAAAACTCCCTTGCTAGTTTTTTTCTCTCATGGGTACAATATTTACATACGGATAGAGAGGTGATGGGAGATGTCTTTACATGTTTATCTAAACAGGATAGAGACCAAACCGCAGGGTGTGTCCATGTTTTCAGTGGATCCCTTTAAGATATTCTTGTGACTTACTTGCTATTGAGAGGCAGTGGGGCTGCGCAGAACTTGCCCACAATGGATGATTCATCCTTCTTCCAAAAGTGACTCTGGGGGAGATACTTCAGTGTCATACTCTTTATCTGGCAGAGAGGAACTCTGTGGGCCAGCAGGTGTTTGCCCATCTCCTGGTCCTTAGGTCTGCAAGGCAAGGTGAGAGATATGATAGAGAACATTCAATCAACCTGCAGATGCAGGCTGTATGCAAATATGTTGAAACACTGCACAAACCTGGGGTGGTTTTGTGAAGTGCTTGCATAATAAAATGGAGTGATAACTTTCATCTGTCAGAACAGAGCATGGCACAAGAGTCTTACTTTCTGTCTTTCCATGTTTTATCTCTGTAGTTGGGAATATTTCTCTATAAATATCCTTCCTTCCATTGCACGATTACAACAACTCCTCTTGCTATTCCACATAGATTAAAACACTGCCCAGATTGCTGCAGAGAGGTACATGGTAGACAAGATCAACATCTGTGAAACTGTGAATGGCACAGGTGGGGGTTGGTTGTTTGCCATTTCTTCCAGTACATGAACTAGGGTTCATCAAAGAAAGCTAAGAGGTAGCAGACTCAAAAAGTTGCACACTGCACAGGGTACCATTCCTTTTAAGCTGTTAAAATCCTTGCTGTGGGATATTGTGGAGGCTAGAAAGTTTATATGACTGTACATGTCACAGAAGGAGGACTGGACAAGTTTGTGGAAGACAAAAGCTGATAAGGGCAAAGATACCACCTTTGGTTCTGAAAATCCCTGAGTCGCAGTCAGACACCGGGAAACTATTTGCGGAAGTATTGCTACATGCTTACACTGCCTCTTTTATACTCTTCTCTAGGTATTTGCTTTTGACCATGTGGAAGGTGGGATGCTTGGATAGATGGATGTTTGTCTGTCTCTATGCTCTTACCAAGGTAACATGAACTGAGTAATGCCAGAAGTTCGGTAAATGGCCAGCGACTAGAACCCAGTCAGTCGTGTGGTACAAAGGAGTGCTGCCCAGTCATGTTATGTAGATGTGACACCTCCCCTCTGTGGAGTCCATCCAATGGGCCTTCCTATGCTTGATCTGCTTGGCACTTCTAAGAGCCTGGAGATCAGTGATTTCCTTGTACTCATGAACAATGTGGGAGCTGACTTAGTGCAAAGCCAGAGAAACTAGGGTGACTGACTGATCAGAAATGTGATGGCAGGGAAAGGGGAGAGGTGACAAAAAGCTCAGGAAGAGCCTACAATTCTGCTAACCAACCCAGGAGTGAGCTGACAGCTGCATTCAGCATCCTCCTAGGCCAGAGTGGCCGACCTGAACCTGTATATCCAGTCCTTCTCTTAGACTGCAGTGGCAGATGCTAGAGGTTTTGTGTGTCTGTGTCTGGCTTGAAGCTGCCAAATATAGGAAGCATAATGAAGTTATGGTTATAAAGGTGAATAATGGCAGCAAATGGAAAGCAAGCAGAGGGGAGGCCATCTCTCTAGTGCATATTATCCATGGCCAGGATCCAACCCTGCCCTAGGATAGAGGAACAGAGGAAGCAGGTTGAAGGAAGTCACTTCTGGGACTGACATTTGGTCGAACCCCACTCAGCCTTTGGATGGAGGTAGGACGCTAGCTCGCTTCAGAATTATATTTTCTTGGATATGGGGAATGATGTCATGTGGTATATAAGCAATGGCAATGCAGCTGGGAAGTGTGCTGTGTAACAAGCTCCTTGCTCTGTTAGCCCTATGGCAGCTGTGGGGCTTGGCGACGTGTCTCTTGGGGCACTCTAAGTAACGTGTGGTGTAACGGCATCCTGAGCAGTGAGATTGGAATTGGTGTTTGAGAGAGGGAAGAGAAGGGCAATGTGAGGCAAGACACAACCGTGCGAGCCACTTGCTGAAGGCATGAGACTGGCTAAGCACTCCGAAGTCCCTGTGCACTTCTGGGGAATTGCAGGGTGATATGCATGTCAGATCACCTGAAATAATTCAGTAATCAATCAGATTTTTGAAATATCTTTGCACTCCTGTACTGAGGTGGCTGTTTTAGACTGGACTGGCACAATTTTCCCCCAAAAGCTATCAGATAATAGCTGTAGAAGATAAGAAACTGAGTTCTGTAGAAAAAAAAATAATTTAGAAATCAGTTCCTGTTGTTTGTATCAGAGCATTAATTGCTTAATTAGCCTTTATTTAAAAAAAAAAAAAAGGAAAAATGTGAGAATCTGTGTTTACATGCCCATTCAGCACTCTGACCTTGACTGCACTGAAGGGCTGAGCTTTGCCCAGGGCAGGAAACTTGCTTTGCACTGTGCTACATTGTGAATTAAAAGGGATATCTTAAATTTTATACTCTCAAATCTGTAGGTTTATTGCTGTAAGCAAATTTTTCAGTTTAGCCTTGTGCTTCTTAGGAAGGCACTTAAATGAAGCACAGCTGCTCTTCTCTGAGGGTAGGAGTATCTCTGGATAGGTTACTCTGCTGTAATTCTACAGTCTCATTAAAACTTGAGGGTATAGCAAAGCCTCGGGATTGCCTGCCTGTTTCACTTCCCCAGGCAGCCTTTCTCTCCAGTGCCCACATGCTTTCTACTGGACACTTACCAAACCCTGTGCTCGACAACTGCAAAACGAAGTGCATGTCTTTCTGAGCAGATCAAGGGCTCTGACTTGACCTGGGTGTTAGCATTTCCTCCCTCCTGCATCTTTGGAAAAGGCAGATCTGGCTTCCAAGCTGGGGAGGGGTTGAGTAGACTGAGCTCCACCAGGGTGGAGTATGAACTCCAAATTGCAGTGTCTGGCTGGAAACCTGTGACCAACAGCTATGTCATGCTGGAGAGCACCCTAGAGCATGGCTTCCCCTTCACTGGTTCTCAATCTTACCTCCTGGTGCCCAGGACTGAAGCAGCAACACAGTTAGCTTCAGGTCAAAATGTTTTGGCTTAGCAGCAAGGACTGTGTGGGAGCCAATGCTGGAACCCCTCTGATCCTAGAAGAGCTGGCTGGAGCTCTTTAGCAGCCTGTTTTTCTGCTTCCTGAGGCAGCCAGCAGCATGTGCTAGTAGTGTTGTCTACATTGTGGTGCACAGACCACAGCAGTGGGCAGGAAGGTGTAGGAAGAAGTGAGGAAGACTTCTGGGGAAATTCTCTGTGGTGTGGAGATCCCCGTGTAGCAAGGGCTGTGGAACAGGAGTCTGAGTGCGGTCCTTTAAGTTAGATACAATTTGGAGGAAGGTGGTGCCTTCAAGCGAGATCTGCCTGTCTGCACATGTGGTCTTGGTTCCCTGCCCCCTGCCTCCTACAATGGGAGCCTGGGTGCTTTGCTGCATTACTGCAGAGGCAACAAACCACTGAACACATTCCTGACTGTGCCGGAATGCACAGGTCTCCTTTTTGCAACTACTGTCCTCTTGGGCATCGAGAGCAATGTCTAAGCCACCAAGCTGAATGGTGGGGAACCTCTGGTGGTTGGGGTCTTGCATCTCTGTCTGGCAGAATAGAGCTGATAACTATCTGATGGTGATTTCTGTTTGAATTGGCACCAGATGAAGGTATGGTGTAGAAAAGGAACCAACTTAGCGACACAGAAGTGTGCAATTTTTGGGATTCCAGGGTATAGCTACTGCTTTGTCCACTCAGAGGAGTGGTGGACTTAGCCAGGGTTACTGAGTAATGGTAGCACATGCTTGATTTTTGAGAGCATTTAATGTAAATGTGCAGGGACTCAGGAAGACAGGTTGTGGCTCATCACAGAGTGACTGCACTCAGGGAGATAGGCTATTGTCGTGCAGTTCCTGGACTGGTATAAACATCCTTACACATGAAGCTGGCATAAAACAGGCCAGAAGCATGCACTGTCACTCACATAGTGATCTTTGCTGTGTCCTTGGTGCTGTTGCTGAAGAAAGTGACCTCAATGCTGGTGACCATGCTTCTCTTCTTCTGCAAGTGGAACTCAACCAGGCTGTGATGAACTAAGAAAGAGGCAAAATATGTGGGAGTGAGGGCAAGTACTATCTCTTGGACCTACCCCAGCCAAAAGAAGGCCTCTAGCACTCATTCCCTGGCCTCACCAGCAGAAGGAAGATGAAACAGATGTAAGAAACTAGCCTCTAGGCAGGAGAGGCATGGTGGACAGGTCTGCATAGTCCCATGTAAACAGACGGGCATTTTCACTACTCTTTACTTCAGCCCTGAAGCCATGTGGCTGTCTTATGCCAGGGCTGTGCCCACACTAATAAACTCATTGGAAAGGGCCTTATGGGGCAGATGTGCAGGATCATTGTCTCAGACCATCTGGGCTACAATAGCTGATTCTGAGAGGGATGGTGGGTTTTAATTACCTGGCCTCCTCAGATAAACTGCCTCGTTTGGTCAATCCCCTTCTGACTCATTTTTTTTCTCATTGCTACTTACCACAGAATGGGTCTGAGGGACTGGTCATTAAATAAACTTTCACTTCTCTGGGCAGCTTTCTCATGCTCACACCAGCCTGCTCCAACAGGCCTGCAGGAGGAAATAAAGCCAGTGCAGAGAAAGTCATGAATGACCCAGAACACAAATATAATTGGTCCTAACTCACCTCCACTGACACACCACCCCCTGCCCCAACTCCATGGCTTTGGAGGACAGACCCTTTCTTTATATCAGTGCAAAACAGAGAAAGTACATGTTTGTGGTGTCTGTTTGACAGGTTAACATCCCCTTAGAAAACCTATTCTGGCTAACTCAGGTAATCATCATCAGAGTACCTCTTGGTGGCTTTCTTTCATTCCTCTGCTAACAAACTGTCATGGGTTGCACCTATGCAAAATAAGCAGGACTTATAAGACTACCAAGTCAGGAAACTTAGTGCAGGTGTAAATGACAATGCAAACACAAGGTTCTGGGAAACTGGATTTCTGGACCAAGTAAGAAAACCACCATAACTTGAGGCACCTGTACTGCTGACAAGGTGGCTTCGTGAGATGGGGAAGGAGTGGCTGATCTGAGAGCTCCTATACCAGAGAGACCTTTCCTTATATTCCTCTGGTACTAGACTGAAAATAGCACCAGAGGACACTTCTCTTTGTGCCACAGCCCAGTTTCAGAAGCCTAAAAGAGGCAACTATTACCTCTCCCAGTCCAGGGAGCTCATCTTTGGGGTGGCCATTACACCCCATGGGGAATTTATGAGAAGGAAGTGACACAGCAACAGTGAGTAGTTTGTAGAAGTATGGGACTTCAGGCTTGGGCCAAAATTTTCAGCTACTTCTCTAAACAAGACACTTTTGGACCTAATTTCCCACTTGTTAGGCAGGTCATTCTGGAGACTACCTTCCGACTCATTTGTGGGCCCTATGAAATGTTTAAAGTTCAGAAATGTTCAAGACGTTGGTGTTCTACCTTAGGCAACATAAGAGCTTTTAGAGCGTTTCTATAGAAGCTTGAAAACTAAACAGCTTTTAACTATTCCCAGAGAGATCCGAAGCAAATCCTGCTTGGAGAAATGTGAACTGGGTACTGTGCTCTGCACTGACACCCATCAGGAATGTATTGTCATCTGCTCCAGAAAGGTCTCACGCTGGTACTGTACCTATTCTGGGACAGGAGAACAGGAAGGGGTCAACGCAGTCCAGGCAATGACCGTTTAAAAAATCTTGATGGCTTGCACAGGGGAACGCCATGAATGGACAGGAATGTTTCAAGGCACTGACATAGAGATGTACTGCCCTCATGTGATCACAGATCAGATACTCATAGCCTGCAAGAAAAAATGCACTCAGAGAAAAGCATCCATGAGTCTTTCAGTTGGTTTCAGTCTTTCTGTGTGTTGTCAAGGAGCTGAGAGCCAAGAAACACTGATTCTGCAGTGATCCTCTTCCCATTAATAACATTTTGCAGAGCATCTCTGTGACTACAAGCCCAGATCTCATTGCAACAGGAGTTATGCAGAAAGTTAGTCCCAGACTAACTTCAGAAGAGGAGGGACCACGGGGCTTGCCATGTCTCCATGAGTGTGCTTTTCATGAGGTCCCAAGCTCTCTGCAAGGGGGTACCTACACTGGGACTCCAGCTATGGGAAGTGAGGTACCATAGGTGTCCTCTGTAACATGACCCTCAATGCAGCTGGCTTGTCTAGAACTTATTTTAATATTTATCTACACTATTTACTGTGTAAATTCCTATTCTCTAGAAGGAAAGGGCAGTAATCATACAAGTTTTCTAAGTATAGACACCTCTTGCAGCGTGAAAACAAAAAGGAACTTTTGTGAGTAGTATCTAAGAACCTTTCTAGCAAAGGTTTTTTTTGTCCATACAAATTCTGTCAATGCTAGGGTTTTGGCTCATACAGAAGTGTCACCAAAATCATGGCTTTTGACAGCAATGCTGCCAGGACACTTGACCTGTGTGTGATTTTTAATTTCATATGCTTGTTGTACTGCTGAGAGATGTGGGCCATGGATCGCTGCTGCCATGTGTCTTTACAAACATGTGTTGTCTTGCTTTGATGTCTGCCCTGACTGTAGCAGGAGCTGGCTGCTAAACAACATTCTCATAGGCTGATAATTAGCTGTGAAAGCCCTTTTCTTGGTCACAGAGTGTTCTTACCTGCAGAGATGAATCGGGGGCATCCTGGCTGATCTTTGCCTCCATTGACGAAATAGTCTATGTGGCCTACAGGAATTCGGATCCCAAAATCTGAAAGGAGGTGAAATGCTACTTCATTCTTACACTTAGCTTTTCTGTAAGCTTTACCCTACATGGTGTTTGATAGCCCTCAATAACTGATTGAACATTAGTAGTGCTGGACCTAGCTCCAGTGTTGGAGACAGTGAGCACAGATTTCCTGTTCCTACATGCCTGCAGGTTTGCTGCATGAAGCAGAGTGCTCCAGGCCCTGCCAGCAACATGACTGGGAGCTGTGGCTTAATCACCAGCTCTGTGACTCAGATTTTCAATTCTCTATAAAGGAGAACAAAACTGACCACAACCTAAATTGGAAATTATGAGGCATGATCAAAAATTATGTTGGCAGAGATTTTTGTGACCTCCAGGCAAGAAGTGTGACTCTTGGTGAGGGACCAGATTATTATCTAGCACAGGTTCTTCCTAGATAGACCCTAAGTGGTTTAGAAAAGTTACTGTATTGTCAAAACAGCTCTTGGTTTGACTGTTACTTTCCACCAGCACTCACAGTGGCACCGTTCTTATATCCCATGTGAGACCAGACATGTAAATTCCTTCCAGGTGGTAAATACCACACTAAGCTGATGCCATACAAACTCAATCTGCTGTAGCAGAATTAAGAAAGCAATATATGCTGGAAGGTTGCCCTCTATCTAATCTTTACCTATCTGATGCTGCGGAGTGCTCTGGGATACAGATACCTGCCAGTGAATTCATTGTTAAAGCCTACCTAATCAAGAAACATCCTCAGAGGGAACCTGGACTCACGGTAATCTGGCTTAATACGCTCCTTAGCAATAATCATGGCAGGAGGAATGGAACCATGGGCCCAAGAAGATGGAAGCCAGCTTACTGTCAGCATCGGTATGAATGGCTTCCACGAAGAGGGCATCCCCAGGATCCAGGCGTTCCTCAGGGCTGGCTCTGGTGTACTTAGGGCCTGCGGGATCCAGGCCTGTAACAAAATCAAATGCCTCAACAAGAAATGCTCTTCAGCCCCTCCCTTTCTTATTTCTGGACCAGTTATTTTATTCAAAATTTTAAAAATGTTGCTAGGCTGAAGTGATTAATTATTCCCAGGTCGTTCTCATTACGCTCCAGAATGGCTTCTGCCCCCGTTAACTTCCACTACAGCTTCCATACCTTGTCCTCCACTGCTCCACTCCCCTTCAGCAGTTTTGTACCTTAAGTTTCTAGGCTATAAAGCCATGACTGAGCTTCAAATAGCTCTGACAGAATGGATGCCGTGCCTTTTGGATTTTTGGTGAAAACAAACACAATACCTTCCTTAATTGTACTGTTATCCGTATTAACACTACAGTCTGAGATACGTCACTGAAGATCATTGGTTAGGCGATGAATTCAGCATCCCAGGCGTTAACCAATCCAAGCATTACAAAATTTTGATACTATCAAACATCCTTAAAATAAGGAGGCTTCTGAGCCATCTCCCCACAAATAAAATTGACTCTTTAAGCATCCATCTATATTTTTACCTAAAACTTTCTCATAGAACAAATTCTGGGGAGTCAAAGGAGTACAGAAAATTATCCTCGCCAGTACCAAGGAACAGATCAAAGATATTTTGTTGTTGCTGTTGTTGTGGCTTGCCTTTTGTAGAAAAGTAATATCACGATTTTTTTTCACTCCACAGGCAACAATAGTTTAAAAAGCAGCTCTGCTCCACATGCCACTTAGCTGGCCAGTTTCATTGCCTTGGATTTAGTCCCATTAATTCTCTATGGAGAAGGGAATATCAACAATATACAAACTTTGGCATCTGCATTTATGAAGGGGGAGGGAAGGTGGAAAAGGGAAAGAAGAGAAAGAATTCTTTCCTATTTTTTTCTAAATAAAAGCTAATGATGAGACAAGCGATCAGAAGAATTTACTGCTTTAAATTTTCTTTTGTGTTCTTTACTAACGAATACAAAAGCCTGAGAGGTTTCCCAGCCACTTCTAGAGACAAAGTTTTAATTAAAGCATTTACAAGATACTGAAAAGTGTTAGTCAGTGTAGCTTAAAGTTCTTCCTGAGGAGAAAGAAACATCTAATATGTGTTAATAATAGCTCTGAGGTAAGCATATTTCTATCCTCTATTCTTTGCGCCTACCTCCTCCAAGCATAAGTTGCATAAACTTCGTTGAGATGTATATCCTCAGCGGCTAAGAAAACTATTCACTGAAGCTATACTGCATGCAATTGAATTCCCATTTTTTTTTTCATTTCCTCTGCAAGTATTGAAACAAATTATTCTTCAGCAATTTTTGATATGGGCTGTTCATTCCAGTTCCTGTACCATTTGCTTTCCTGCACAGGGAAGTATCCAGAGGAACAAGTATGAGTTAAAGAAACTCACTTCCCAAAAATAAAGTTTGTGCTCTGGTCTCCAAGACTCACTCTGATTTTGCTCCACAGCTCTTTTTAAGGTGATTGAAAGCACTTCAGCAATTTATGGCTCTGGAATCACATTCCTCTGTGTGTGTATGCATGTATGTGAGGAGGCAGGAGGTGAGACCAGACATATCTTGGATTTAATTCCACCTGTCTTTAGGCTCCTAAGTGTGAATTGGATCCTGTAATGCCTAGTGTGCCTGTGAAATCATAGGACAATCAAGAGTGTAGGAAAAGGTTTGTCTGCCAGCAGAGTTAAAAATTAATGGAATAAATAACTCTATAGAGCTTTTATTGCATATAGTTAGCATAAAGCGAAAGAATCTCTGAAGTTCATTGCCATGGTTTCCTGGGAAAGTGTCTGCTTCTGATCATAAAATCTTGGTGCAGGAAAGTGGTTACTCCAAGAACCTTCTAATGTAAACTTAAATTCTCAGCTTAAAAAAGGGCCTTGGCATGAAACTCAACTACTGTTAAGAAATGCCTGTATTTCATGCAGTGTAGGTAGCTGTGTCATTTGAAGGCTGAACCAAAATTTCTCTGGGTCACCCTGCCAAGTGTGCAGTGAAACCTTCCTTGAGGACAGCTCTGTGAGACAGACCAGCATGGGCTGAGGCAGACTGGGAGCTACAGTCACTCTGCTGGAGCCTTTATGCCTGTTATTTCTTGGTGGCAACTTCACTCCTATCAAAATGAATCTCCATCCCTGGGGATTCCCACAGCTTGACAAGACCCTCAGCAACTGATTTAGAAGGCAGTCCTGATTTAGGGATGTGCTTGTGTATGTGGTGGTAACTAGAGACCTTCTGAGGTCCCTTCTTACCTAAATCGTTCTGTGACTCTATTCATGTTCCATACCTAAAGGCTGACAAGACCCTGAGCAAACGAAAAAGCTCTAAATGCTATGATCAGCGTTTGACCATCTGTAATTCCCCCACTGCAACCTCTTCCTCACTCCCAGAAGTCTGGCTTTCTGTGTTTAAGGTCAGCTCTGATTTGGTACAGCTGGGTGGCCTTAGACCAGCCAACTGTGAAAACAGCTGACTTGTGGGAGAAAAAGGTAAGAAGCCTCACCTGGAGCCTCCCGGGACTGGCCCAGGCTCTTTCCTTTAGTCTTTGCCTGAACTATGTTGAAGGGATGCCATGCTCAGCCCTGTGTCTCGCTGGTCTCGCTTTTATTTTGCAAACTAGACTTCCTGGCTCAACCTTGGGCTTGCCTCACAGCTACAGGCTTATGTGGTGATCACTGGACTGTGGATGACCCTAGTTCCTGTCACTGGACTTGCTCTGCTCCTTTTGCCCTGGTACAGTAGGACTGTGTCTCTTGTCAGTGAGGCTACTGCCCCTGCCTACCTTGTTGTTCCTCTTGGTTCTCAGCTCACATTTTCCTGCAAAGCAGCTCACCTTTCTTGTTTCCCCACAACATCATGCATTGTGGGGTTTAATTTTAAAATCCACAGAGGTATACTGTAAAGTTGGAGCAAAGCATGTGAGTATTGTGCGTTTTCTTCAGTCAAGAGCCCTCGTATTCTTAGAAGCTGGCACCAATTTGAAAAGTGAAGCAGAGGTGGAAGGACCCTTTTGCAAATACATGCTTTCTTTTGGTGTTGTGAAAGAGACTAGTGGCTGGAAAGGCATTTTCAGGCTCTTCTGAAGATAGGAAGAAGCTTATAAGCTTGGATCTTATGCAATTAAAAGACCACTATGGGTGACTCCCCTTCCTCACTCTTTCATTCTCTCCCCTGAAGAGCAGGTGAGGACCCAAGACTTTTATGTACCTGTTATCCGTCCCAGCTGACCGCCATGGAAGTGTCCCACCAAGCCCCCAACATGTGCACCGAGGCTTACCCCAATGATGTGGATGGATGTCCCTGAGATTCCCAGGGCCTGCAAATTGATGTTAATACACATTAATATTTCTGTAACAGAAAGGTGAAATACCCTGTCACAACCCACACAGCAGCTCTGTAACTCTTCCAGTACAGGATTGCTTTTGAGGTGTGTGGTGGAAAACCAAATAGATGTGGGAACAATTGGTATTGCCCTTTCTATTTTTCAGTCTTTCTTCAGGTCCACAGATGCAAAGCCAACCCTAGCCAGGTCAGTCAGGTTTTCCTGTTCATAACTACATAGCCAGCAGTGTCTCTTTCCACAACTTGCTTCAGACTGAATTTCTCTCTCTCAGCTCAGCGACCCATGTTCACCAGGTGAATAACCCTTTTCTTAGAGGAATTTTTTCCCCACTTTTATACCACCAGTGTACCAGTATCCTGATTAGTATTTTAAGTTTATATTTTCAGGTATTAAGGATTTATCCATGGGCTGAACTGCCAGGTAAAACACAGTCAGTTAGACCTGATGTGAGATGTCCCCATCTACAGGCATTTAGCTGCCTGCAGGATAGTCTACATGATGCAGTAACATATAATAGGAGAACATATGATGCATGAGAGTGTGGGGGCAAGATGAAAAATCCTTTGAAATGCATGAGGCCACATCCTTGAGCAGTACTGAGGCTTATGAGGAGAGAACATAGTCTTCTGTGGTGTAATGTTGCAGGAGAGGCTGGACAGAAAAAGTCCTTAAGTAGCTGGAGAAGAGCTCAGCACGGACACCGAATGATCAGTTGGAACACTGTTCAGATCAGTCATTTGTTCGCTGCATCACATTCCTCTCCCCCTCCACCCCATCCTTCTAATGACACAGAGACTCCAAGGGTTGCCGTGTTTCTGGGTAGAAATATGCAGCTGTGCACAACGTGGTGCATAGGCAGAGAACTCCCATGCTGTGCAGCCTGGGCCTGCAGCACAAACGTTAAACGCAAGTGTTGTTCAGCTGTGCTATGCATGACTGAACTGTGACACATCTGGGGATTTCCAGCTACTGGGAAATATACCTGAAACCCAGAGTAAATATAAAATAGTCTCACGCCCCGCCCTCCAGTTCACTGGACAGAATTTCTGGGCAGAAGAAGGCTGTCCAGTGAAGCATGGACGTGAGGAAACCCAGGGCATCCTTCAGGTTTGACCTGGGCTAGAGAGGCAGCTGACAACTGTGATGTTTTTCCAGAAAATGTCAGAACTCAAGAAAAAGAAGAAAAAAATGCTCAAGCCTGGACTGAGAGAGAGAGGGGAAAAAGAAATCTCTTTAGTCCTGCACAGCACTGTCTGGAATAAAGGGCCTGCTTATCCAGCTCCTGGAGGCAGCAGGTTGAGACTAGTTCTCTGGGTTGTTTGCATGAATTATTTTCTCTAGCTATGTTCCTCTGGCACTGGAAACGCACAGTAGCTTACCAGGAGCTTGCTGATGAATTGTGAGATGGAGAGGGCCAGCTGGGTGACATTTTCCACCGCGGAGGGATAAGCTCCTGTAGACCCATAAACCCAGTCTACTGCGATCACGTTCACCTGGCTTGTGTGCAGTATGGCATGGACAAGCCCTTCAATCCAGGAAGGTTTGGTACCCAAAGCCCTGCAGAGTCATCAGAAACAAGTATATTGGGTGTCTTCCAAAGCAGGGCGCATGGCAATATGTTGTTCACTGATGCTGGAGCTTCATATGTCTCAGACAAGGCTGCCAGACAGTTGCTGAAAGTTTTTTCTGGTGCCAGACACCCACACCTGGCATTTCTTTGCGGTGGTGTAGTAACACTTTCCAGAATGGAAACTAGGTATTTTAATGAATGAGATAACATTTGCAGCGCTCAGACTGAGATCTCAGTCTTTCTGTGGCATTTCAGTTAGCCACCACAGCAGGAACACTTGGATCCTGCCCTTCTACCAACTGGGAGGAAGACCTTAGGCAAATCACCTAGTCTTTCACTGCTCTGTTTCCTCATATGTAGACAATTGAAAAAAATAAAAATCTATACCCAAAGATTCAAGGAAAATTGAGGAGGCTATGCCCTACCCAGTTCCCCTAATACAACCTGGTGAGGAGTGTGCTATGTCACATGAGGGCAACAGCTGGTTTTCTGAAAAGATCCTGCAACATCTGTAGTTTCATCATCATCGTCTGTGCACTTTCTGTTTAGGTGTTTGCACATAGAATCATAGAATTGTCAGGGTTGGAAGGGACCTTAAAGATCATCTCGTTCCAACCCCCTGCCATGGGCAGGGACATCCCCCACTAGATCAGGCTGCTCAGAGCCCCATCCAGCCTGGCCTTAAAAACTTCCAGGGATGGGGCTTCCAGCACCTCTCTGGGCAACCTGTGCCAGTGTCTCACCACCCTCATGGGGAAGAACTTCCTAGTGTCTGATCTGAACGGATCCATCTCCAGCTTTAATCCACTCCCTCTAGTCCTGTCACTATCCGACATCCTAAAAAGCCCCTCACCAGCTTTCTTGTGGGCCCCACTAAGATACTGGAAGGCCACAGTAAGGTCTCCTCGGAGCCTTCTTTTCTGCAGACTGAACCACCCCAACTCTCTCAGTCTGTCTTCACAGGAGAGGTGCTCCAGCCCTCTGATCATCCTCGTGGCCCTTCTCTGGACATGCTCCAGCACATCCATATATTTCTTGTATTGTGGGCATATAATGTTATATGGTCACACCCAGCCGAAAAATGTAGTAAAATAAGCTTGCAGAATGGTGACAGCTTAAAAAAAAGCCCAGCTCAAATGCCTTCAATAATAGAAGTACCATGTGTCTGGCAGGAATCCTAAACGGATGACTAATCCAGGCTGTTGATAAATCAGGACATGAGCTCCAAGAAGACATTTTAAAGGGACAAGAATCTTGAAGGAAAGAATTCTTAAATAAAAAGGTTGAAGGAAGGAAGGAAAGAGGTAGTGGAGGAAAGAAATAGAAGAGAAGGATCAAGGGAGAAGGAAGACAGGGAGGAAGGAAGGAAGGAAGGACAGACAGACAGGTGGGCGGACAGCAGGACAGTGGTTTTAATTTCCTAACTTTTTTAGGCTCCAAAAAGCGTGAAACGCACAAAATAGCCCTCTGGTTCCAAACTAAAGGACTTCAAGTTGTGTTGTAATGAGAGTTGTTAGCAGCATTTTCCATGCCTTTGGACCACAAACAGCCTGCCAGATAATTCCCAGGTCCAGTTTGGGGCTGAGCACTGCAGACGACTCTTAGCAGGTGACTTGCAGGCAGCCACTCCACCGGAAAGAATAAGAAGGTCATGCAAGTAGGAGGTTTCTGTGCCAACCCCACCCAGTTCTTGGGAATGCCCCAGCAGTGTTTAATTTCCCAGTAAAAACTTCATCACAGTGCTCTTCTTTCTCTCACCTGAAGCCATGGATTATGATCTTGGTTTCCAGGCTGTTGTTGAAGCTGGAGTTCTTGATGCCATCCTCGGGTAAAATCAGTTCCCCACAGCTGGGATTTGAAGAGGTGAACAGAAGAAACTGGACTTTAAGCTTCCTGCCCTGAAGGAAATTTGCTGTTTGGAAGTCAGTGCAGTTATGCCCTGAGAGTCTGTCTGTATTCCCTGCAATGAGAGGGAGTGAATAGCATATTTACTCCATGTCTGTGCAACAGGGGGAAAAAAAAAAAGGCAAAAAGAAAAAAGCAGCTCATTCTAATTCATTAGGAAAATGAAGGTAGCAATCTTGCTTCTAATGATAAAGATTAAAAGGGTAGAACATAAATTAAGATCAGCCTGTTCTGATATTTTATCTGTCTAATAAAGCTGTTTCTGGTCTTTAATGGAATTCCAGCTGGGGAAGATAACTGTGGTGTCATGGTAGCTTTGACTCCTGAGAGTTATTTTACCAAGATGTGAATGTTATTCTGCTGGGGTTTTTTCCCAAAACCGTTACACACACCAGCTGCTAAGTACGTTTATGAGTCGGCTATTAGATCATTCAAAAAGTGGTTACCAACAGGTAGTCACCACTGAACGGGGATATTTCTGTACAAATTCTGGTAGGCTTAACAGAACGTACAAGTCTAATTGACAATTGTATCAAAAATCCAGAAGTGAATACAAGAGCGCTGATGACAAAATATGAGAATACTGATACAAAATGTGTTGATGAACATTTCCCAATTGATTCATTTAGTGGATGAAAATGCTTTTTGGGAAGGAAAAGGCAGCCACTGGAAGGCACTTTGGTCTAGACAGCAAAATAAAAAAAAATTAAAAAATTTTCAAACCGGTAGCTAGTAAAAAACTGAGCCAGAAAGCAAGCATAAATGTTTAGCAGAATATATGGCTAGCAGTATGTATAGCTACATTACCCACTCCCTCTTTCGTTATTTTAGAGGAGTGGCTGGTATTTTGGAAGGCTTATTAAAAATAAGGTGTTGGATGTGCTGAAAGACTAATAGGGTAAAATATATTGACCTGTGATGAGCCAAAAGCCAAATAATTGATTAAATGATCCCGTATGACCTAAAAAGTGTTATTTCATGAACTGGCATAGCTGCATCCTGCTGCCAAGACAATGCCCGCATGTTCCTATTTCTGGCCCAGAGGAAGCGAAACACCCTTGAATCTGCACGTACAATAAAATAAAAATAAAATCATACATCCAGCTTCCTGACTGCTGGCTGTTCCCTTAGAAGATACTTTATACTAGCTAGGCAGAACATGGCCTAAGGGTCAGCACAAAGAAGTGAAATTCAACATTCAGATTCCCCCTTGTGGAAGGTGACTATCCCTTAGTGTTTTTTATTTTGGACTTCTTGTGTGCTGAAAGTAAGCAAGGGAGAGGTGTTTTCTGAGATCCAAATGAAGAAAAACCACAGCTCATGAGCCAGCTTAACTAGCAAGGATGTGTTCAGTGGAAGCACGGCGCGTGTCAGAAATGGCGTAAGACGAGGGAGATCATGAGTAAGAGTAAGGCAGGAGGTGCACTGCTGTGAAGCTGCAGACAATGTGGGACTGTAGCAAGGATCACAAAAGCCATTTCATTGACAGTACAATTAAAGAAAGAAATGAAAGTGTGGCATCTGTCTATTTTCTCTCAGCTGCTGCAGCTTAGACTTGCTAAACTTTCAAAGAAGGAGATGCCAGTGCTAGAGGTCAAGTGGTTCGTCATCTGCTTCCCTACCCTCCAGAGTAAACCCGGATCATTCTTTTAGATAAGGTTTATAGAATTAAATCACAGAGACTGATTGAATCAAAGCATGGGAGAAGAAAGGACCGTTCTTGCACTACCCTTTCTCCTGGCACCTAACTAGATTACAGCAAGGACCTCTCAACACAGGTTGTTTAGGAAAAACTGAATTCAGACCCTGCTATGTAAAACTTTCACTCCCTCGCCAGGCAATCATGTTGTTCTTACCTGCTTGCGCTGAGCTGAGCAGCAAGAGGACAGCAAGAGCAACGAGTGGCTTTCTCTTTGGATCCTCAACCATCTTCCTGTTAGTCCACTACAAGTACAAGAAATGCACAGGGAAAAACAGCCGTGGTAGGTTGCCTGACCAGCTTGACTCTGTTAATAATCAACCAGACTGTGCTGTTTTGGGGGAAAAAAGGGTACTGCTCTTATTTAACCATTAGCCAAAGCCTGTGTCAGCAGAAGGCTTCACTGACCGTTTGGCTGAAAAGATCCTGATATCCCTTTCCTCCTCACCTCTCCTTCCTCAGGCCAAACTTCTGATTTCAAAAATCAGCTAGTGAAACCCAGTCCCAGCAAGTGACAGTGTTACAGTGCTTTATCCTTGCCATCTAGACGTGACTGCCAGATTCTGACTAGGGACACTGATTTGTCACAAGGCTTCACAGTAAGTCCAAGCCTTGCATCTCTGTGTTTTCCTCTTGCGTTGTTGTCCCTTTTCTGTACTTCTGCTTTTGATCAGATCCCTGTAGCTGCTAAAATATGGTATATGATATGGTCTAGGGGTGAACCTGCAAGTAAGGTTAATGGTTGGTTCACATTTCCTGCACTTCAGATACTACAGGAAATAAAGGATGATCTCAGTAATGGCACCAATATCATAAACATGTAAATACTTCAAACTGATTTTTGAATTTAAAACAGATGGAGAAGCGTAAGCGCACAACCAAATGTGTATCCAGGAGTGTGGCACATGACATTCATGAGACAGTGGTACCATCTCCCTGGCACATCTGCTTCCTAAGTCTCACTGGTGTGTGTTGGTCCTTCTTGCAGAAGAACAAGGTGTATTTGCTCTTGACTGTGTCAAACGGCAAGAAGGGTAACAAGTGAAGAAGTATTTTCTGTCCAGGCACTATTTCACAGCTGTTTTATTTGAGCAACAAAATGAAGGAATTGCCTCAGTTTGATCAGAAAGATGAGCAAAGGCCTTGCCAATAGCATCAGATATTATTTTTCTTTACAGTTATTGTCAAGAGGAGTCATTTACTTCCCCTAGTTTGCTCCAGACAAAGGCTTTGGAGCTGTTTTAGGCAGAATAGCTTTTATATTTCCAAGTCACTTCTGAGATAAATTTCTGCAATTCTCAGAGGGAAGTAGGCCAGCACTAGTAGCCTAGCTTGGAGGGCACTGAAGCTCTGCTCCATCTGCATCCTCTCACAGACACATCTACAGGTACATTCTGATCCTGAAACACTCGGCTTCACGATCAAGCTGGCTTACTGTCAGAGAAGCAGGTTCTTAGTGTCTCTTCAAACACGTGACTGAGTTCGTCTACCCAGTCAATTTTCCCATATTGAAAGCTGCAATACACATAGCCATCTCCTGGCTTTCAGCCCACTCCTCATCTTCCCAAACCCAGCTCTACACTCACATTGATTCACAGATTGTAAGACAAAAGCCTGTAGACTGCAACGGACCCACTCCTTCTTCATTACACCCACAAATTCCACTGATCTGCATAATCTTTCAATCGAGAAAGAAGGAATTAAACTTGTGAAACATACCAGTGACCTTTCCACACAAGCCTCCATAGTAACAGCGTAACTGTGAAAATGACATATTTCTTAGACTAAAACAAGTTGGAGCACCTAAAGAAAACCAGCAAATGCTTCTTTCTGGTTTTCATTTAAAATAATGCTAATAAGCTCAACACTTTTTAGCAGGATGCAATGGTTACTCTTTGCCAAGCTCTATGGAAATTTTGAAAACCAATATAATATAAGGCAGGCACCAGTATTACAGCCTTAGAGTAAAACAAACTTGCGGCCAAGATATGTGGATATGACTTAGTTTTGCACTCATATGTGTAATTGCAGAGTTGTTAAAACAACATCCTGGCACACTAAAAAAAACCCCAGCATCTTCAAGATATTGAAAATTCTGTTTCCTGAGCAGTGTTTTTGTTTGTTTGTTTTTATTTTTGTTTTGTTTTTTCTTTCTGTAATCTTAGATGTAGTAATTCCAGAAATTTTTTTTTTGGTTATATAAGCACACTGTGGTGGTCCCTCATGCAAACAGCAAAGGTCACTCCGTTCCTCTATGCTTAAAATGCTATTACCAGTAAAATTATTTTGGTATGAAGAGTTTTCCTTTTTTTTTGTTTGTGAACTTAATTACTGTGTAACTGCAGTTATATTAGTTTGGAAACTAAATGTTGATGGCACATATTTTACTTCCCAATGGGAGTGTTTGTAATGGCAATAGCAACACTGTTGCCAAGACTTTCAAACCAGGTTAGATTTCTTTTAACACTTCCTTAGACTATGTGATCAGGAAGCATGGTGTGATTCACTTGAGAATGAGTGAGGGATAATTAAAACAAGCAAACTTGGTTTTATGCACAAATTCTTTGCATTAAAGAAATTAAAAGACTTCATGCTGCCTGCAAATGCTGAAAGTGCCCAACTCAGCTGAAAATGTCTCCCCACCCACAAAGCAACAGCTGGCAGAGGTATATTATATAAGCACTGCAAATGCCCAATAGCCAAATGGAAATTCGATCACAGGAAAATTCACTTAGTCTGGAAAACTTTGTTAATACCAGAAACAAGGTAGCAGTGTGTGACCCTGAGGAAAACTGAGTATGGGTTAAGCAAATGACAACTATATTTAAAATCAGTCCCTATGGTCTTTGCACTCAAGGGAGGGTATGAAATACATCACTGGATCCACCCTACTGCTGGACTACTTGGCATCACAGCTCCTGTATTTTCTGACCTTAACCTGTGGAGTAGAAACTACAGCCCTGTGTTAAGCACCTAGGCTCCTGTGTATTGTTCCCAGGATTGACAGAAGAACCAGGTTTAGTTTTCACCTCAGCAAAAAGTGGTTCTAACTCTTGACTTTCAGAAGAGTGTCCTAACTATGAGGTAGTAGGAAGAAAACATTAAATATTGACTTGGCAGCTGAGGGAGGGAAAACATAGGCAAGGCAGACTGAGTACTCAGGAAAGGAGGAAAAGCAGTTGTTTTCTTGAGTCGTTCATGAGTACTTTACAGATCTTCTACCTAGTATGACTGTATAGGTATGCAAAACAAGGGAGGATGCATCCTTGCAATTGTATCCCTGTAGTTTCCCAAGACCAGAGGAGCCTAGATGAGAGTGTCAGCCAGCAGGCTCAAGTTTCTCTCTCACTTTCTCTTTCCTCTGAAGCCCTAATTGTCCTCTACAATATGGAACAGCTGGGTAGGAAGAACTCAGTCCTGCTCTGAGTGTGTTTGGGTGACCTCCTGCAGTTCCTTCAGCCCTAAAATAATCTAAGTGAAAGTGTCAATCACTGCTTCAAATTTCTCTCTGCTAACCCTGCAGATCTCATAACCTGCAGTGAAATTGTAGTGTGCAAGGTGGGAGGTGGCACCTTCCCAGCAACCAGCAACAAAGTAATCCATGGTCTGACATTTTGGAAAGACATTTTATCTGACAAGGAGACCAGTCAGCAGCAGAGAAGAGCTGCTCCTGCCACTAGGATACTACAGGAAGACAGCCACGTTACATTTCTGTTGCAAACACTGTGACTTGGAGCCTTCACAGGGTAGGGAGCTCCCTTTCACACTTGACAGAGATTGAGAACGGAGGGGAGAAGGGACAGAAAGGCTTGTTGGGTGTCTGTCATTGAGCAAAAAGAATTTGTGGGATGGACCTAACTCCATTTGGAAGCTAGTTATGTGCTACGTCATTTGAACATAGCTATGGAGAACGGCCTGGTATTATTCTGTGTTTTGTAAGAACTGAATGAGACAGCACTGCTCAGCCCAAGGTGCAGTGTCATTCCAGCTCACGTTGCAGCCTGCCATGATGAGGTAAGGGAGCTTACAGTGATTCCTAGAAGGAGAAAAAAGACCGAAAACACATTCAGAGAAACATCTTCAGTCTTGATTTTGGGAGGTCCTCTTGTTAGAGATCACCATAGTTGCCTATTTATTTTTTTTCTGAACTGCCTCAGGCACTGTTGTGTGAGGAGCAGACCTGAAGTCACTCAGTGAATAGCTTGGCCCCGCTGCTCAGCCATGAACGTGCGACCTGAGCACAGGAGGAGAGAGCCAGCCAAGGGTTAACCATGCGGTGTGAGCCTCCCCATCCAGCACTAGTGCCGTGCTGTTCTTCCCTGGGACAGGCAGTCTGGTTCCTGAGAAATGAGCGTGCTTTGAGGCTGTAAGGTCTGCAGCTGGACCTGCTGGCAGCTGGATTCTTCTCAGCTAAGGTAACATGCTGTGAGTGGGATGCTGGTGGAGGAAGATTAAGTACCCACTCGCAGCAACTCGCTGTTGTGACTGGCAAGCTGGCTGGACTGCCACTGCTGGAGTGTTTGGCAGAGCAGCAATTTTTCAATAGTTGCTGAGTGTTTATGTTTCCAAAACTGTTGTGGTAGTTTCCCTTTCTTCCTCAAAAACATTCTGTCATGTCAAGAGGCCAGTCACCTATGAAAAGGAACGGGTGTTTTAGTTTTGTGAATGGGCTTCTGAACAGCTCATGCATCGAAGAAAACCCCTGGAAGTCAGAGCTGCTTTCTGTTTTGTATTTTCTTCCTTCACTCATGCAGAAGGGTGAAGCTGTAGTTTTAGCTGGAACTGTAGTTCTTAGCTGACATGTAGGAGACTTAATGCTTGAGGAAACAGAATCAGTGGGTAAGGAGATGTGTGTTAAACAAAGGGATTCTATAAGGGGACCTTATCTCCAAGGGCAGGATGCCCCAGGACTCTCAAAGGCCACCGAGATATGAAGAACCCACCTAGGCCAGCCTTGGGGCCCCTTAACAAAGATAAGGAGGTAATTGACTAAAGTTCACAAGGACACTGCGATGCAGACTGTCATGACGAAGAAAACGACCATCAGAGACCTCTGACGACCACTGAAAGACTGTATTGCACATGTGGGAGTGGGTGGTAACCATGATAATGAGTTCTCAGAAAATAATGCATATGTTAATCCTCGGAAATACGGTGAGCATGTATGTATAACCTGCATATAGGCTATGCATCTGACTCTGACGCACACACTATGTGCCTGGCACTGCAA